CGGACATGCCGACTGGGAGGGTCTCAGAGATTTCTTCTCTAGCTTTCCTTGGAAACATGTCTGTTTCACTGACGCGGATGCGTCGGCTGTCTGTTCTTCGATAACCGAAATTATCCACGTCGGAATGGAGGAATACATCCCTCACACAGTGAAAGTGCCTAGACTAGGGTCCATCGGCTGGTTTAACAAATCGTGTTGAGTCCAGAAACAAATATAAAGCAGCGGTTCGCAATGCCAAAAACCAACACGATATAAAAGTTAGGCACAGGGTAATGTCGCAGCGCAATAGCAGTCGGTCTTTCTGGACACTGGAAAAACAGCTTGAAAAGAACTTCTCACACAGTAGCCTTCCACGACTTACGTGTCAGGATGGAACTATTGTATTCAACTCAAACGCCAAGGCGGAAGTGCTAGCCAAGATCTTTGCTGCCAACTCCACCATGGACGTCCCCCCCAACGCCCAAGGGCCGTCAATTCAAAGGGTTCCCTACACTATGCGGGAGGTAACATTCAGGCATAGGACCGTAAGACGAGTGCTCTTGTCGCTCAACATCAACAAAGCTTCTGGTACGGACTTGATTCCTGCCATTGTACTGAAGAGGTGTGCACCGGAGCTTGCTCCAGTTCTTTCGCGTCTCTTCCAGATATCTTATGAATCCGGCACTTTCCCAGAAAACTGGAAATTTGCTCATGTCCAACCCATCCAAAAAAAGGGATCTAAAACCGACCCTTACAACTACAGGCCTATAGCTCTGCTTTCTGTTTTAAGTAAGGTGATAGAGAGGTGCATAAATCGCGAGCTTCTGGTCTACTTCGAACGTCACGGCTTGATTAGCGACAGGCAGTATGGTTTCCGGCACCAACGATGCACAGGGGACCTCCGAGCTTACGTCACTCAATTGTGGAGTAAACTCATCCAGTCTTATGGTGAGGCTCATATCGATGCTCTTGACATCACGAAAGCGTGCGATCAGCTGCGGCACGCTGCCCTCTTAAGCAAACTTCCATCCTATGGCCTCGCAGAAAAGCTTTGCAGATAGGTGGCTGACTTTATCTCTGGCCGCAAGATATCCATCGTAATTGACGGGTTCTCCTCTTCATCCCACAACATCAACGCGGGTGTTCCCCAGGGATCGGTCTTGGCTCCGACTCTGTTTCTCTTACATATCAACGACCTCCTTTCCTGCACGATCAACCCAATCCACAGCTTCGCTGATGACAGCACTCTACATGCAGGAATTCAGAGTGACAAGCCGATCTCTGCCGCTGAGTTGGAAAAAAGAAGACTAGCGATGACTTCCTCTTTGACAAGAGACCTGGAGGCTATCACTGCTTGGGGACGCAACAATCTTGAACAGACGAACAAAAAGCGTCCCTGCGCTCACCCGGTTTCGATGGATGGTCGAGTTCTGCCAAAGAGCCATTCATTTCGGCTGGTCGGAGTCCAGATCACCGAGGACCTGATCTGGCACGAACACATCTCGTCAAAACCTGCAGCTGCTGGGAAAAAGCTAGGCTATTTGTTTAGGGCTAAGAAGTACTTTTCTCCCCATGACCTTCTCACTCTATACAAGGCCCAGATAAGGCCTAGTCTCGAATATTGCCAAACGTTTGAGGTGCTGCCGCCCCGACTACATTATCCATGCTCGATGCTGTCCAGAGGAGGGCGGTCCGACTGATCGATGACTCTTCTCTAATAGACAGTCTCGGGACTCTTTCGTACCGGCGGGCTGTCGGCGATCTGGCTCTTTTCTACCGTTACACCAACGGGCTTTGCTCCTCAGAGCTTTCTTCCATGATGCCGTCGCGCGATGTGCCTGCCAGGCAGATCCGCCCGACTTTGGTGTCCCATCCTAACCGTGTTGAACTTCATACACCCAGAACCGGCCGATACGACCGCCTCTTTGTCCCGAGGGTGTCGAGATTGTGGAACAATCTACAAGAGGAAGCTTTTCCCAGTTCTATTAACCTTAGGCAGTTCAAAAATCGTATTAATAAAATTTCTTTGGGATCATCATAGCAGCCGCGGTGTTCCGGCATTTAGGCTTCTGCCTGCGCGGCTGCTTTGAATTAAAAAAAAGCTTATCTGTAACCGTGTTAAAATTTCAGTTCTAAATATACTAAGTGACATATAAATCCGAACACCCAGTTTAAATGGTTTTATTTTAATAAAAGTTGGTGAATGTATTTATCTTACTGTAAATAACAAGTGAAAAAATTTTCAGCCTTATCAGTTGGACATTCCGGTTTTTATACTGCTTTTTAGGATTTTTTCTATTGGCATGCGAAGTATTTACCGACGAATGAGAAGTTTTGGCTTGTTTTCATACCGGCCACACTGGGTCCTCCCTTTAACTCGAGAACACCGACGTAATGGCCTTGAGTGGTTCAGATAACGGTCACTCTGGGATCAGGAATGGAACAGTATTGTCTTTAGTGACGAGTCTCGATTTTGTTTAGGCTTGCACGATGGTCGTGCCAGGGTTAGAAGGCGACGTGGTGAAAGAAGGAATCCACAGTTTTTTGTTGAAAGACATGTTCGTCACACTGTTGGAGTTATGGTTTTGGGTGATATAGCTTATGATTCCAAGTCACCTTTAATCTTCATCAGAGGTAACATGAACGCGCAGCGTTATATCCACGAAGTTCTAGAACCCCATCTTTGACCCTATCTTGACACACTGGAAGATCCAACTTTCCAACAAGATAATGCCCGACCACATGTTGCAAGAGTCACAATAGACTTCCTTCAACATAATGATGTCATATTGTTACCATGGCCACCAAGATCTCCCGACTTATCCCCAATTGAGCACGTGTGGGATATGATGGGTAGGAGATTGCTCAATTTGCAACATCCTCCCCAGACTCTAGAAGCACTTCGAGAGGAGTTGGTGGTTGCCTGGAATAAGATACCACAGGAGGACATTGACCACCTGACCAGAAGCATGCCTAGGCGCGTTGGAGAATGCGTAGCACATCAGGGTGCATCCACACATTATTAAAGGTCAAAGGGCTTTAAAGCAGTGCAATCATTTTGAAATTTTTATCATTTACTTATTATGCTTCATTAAGTACTTATACAAAATTTTATTAGAATAAAACCATTTAAACTGGGTGTTCGGATTTATATGTCACTTAGTATACGTATACATAAGGTATGAAGATATCTTAAAAAATTGCTTTCTTCGTAACAAAAGGGGATAGACACATCTGCTTTGTTTTAAAATGTGTATAATAAAGTATGTTCTTCGAATATCGTAGTAAATCTGTTCAGTTATTCACATATATGAAATGTTTGAATTTTTAAGAAGAAAAAATGTAACCCTTCGTGTTTCGCATCAAAATAACATTTATCTTCCGGAATGGTTCGTGATTCACGTCGGCAAGGTAAATTCGTGTATATTCGATGCCATCTGAATGAACCCTGTATATTGTCTAGTAAACTAATAGTCATGGCTGGAAAGCAGGTGTCTTGGGATAAACAATTGGACATTCTCAAAAACTACTTGACTAGTCTACTCCAATTTCGTGGTGGTTATTTAGAAGTATGAAGTCAATTAAACATTTTATAAAAACATTTGAACTGTTTATTTGAATCGGGGACTCGGTAGGACTCGGCTCTTCATTCGTGAATGATGGGGTGCATGCGACAGCGCAGTGCCGGTGACGCTCTCAGCTTTATTTGTGATTTTCGAGAGGAGCTTCATATTCGAACGTTGCCGTTATTAGTGTAGTAGCTGAGAAATCTATAATATATGGTGATTAAGTGAAATACTAGAGCATAAGGCGCCTAGTGATCCATAACCATGATTAGAATATTTCTCGCTCTCAATGAAATACCCTGTATAGGAAAGTCTCTGCTGACGCGACGGAATGGGAAGAACTTTTATTTATGCTGAAATACTTAGGTCAATGAAGGGCATTTTATACCAAACACGTGCTTAACATAGGCCTGACGGGCTCTTATTTTATATCGTATAATGTATATATAGAAAGTGGAGCCTCCTTTTGGTATGGAAATGCGTTGACTGCGGGTTAGTGCAATATTGTTTTATTATTAGAAATAAATATACACTTTTTGTATACAAAATTAAGTGGCCTGAATCAGATTCAAGTTTTCCTTCCGCTAGTTTCTGAATTTAAAATAAACAATTGCTTCTAGTGAATAATGGTACTATAACCTGCTTCAGGGCAAATAGACAAATAGTTGGTGAAACGTAATCTTATATATAGTAAGCGCACGATCAATGAAAATGAAAAATATCGGATTTCGTTGGTTTCCCAAATTTTGGATAACTATAAGATTTGTCAGAGCACAGTAAAATGCAATTTGTTCTTTTATATATAAAATATTATCCTAATATCGCTTTAAATATAAATGAAACAGTACATTGAAACTGAGCAAACATTTTTACCCAAACTAACTAAACAAAGTCAATAAATATAAGTAACTTGTTTTACCTGCAGCAGGACCGCTCATTAATGTTAAATAAATTGGTACGATCAATCTAAGTAAACGGTTTAATAAAATTCCATTAAACCATTGCGTTTTGGTTCAATTAAGCGAGTTTGATAGATTCAAGTAAACTGTCTTAGGAATCGGAGTTTCATTAAACTAATTAAGCGTGTTAGCTGTCTTTTACTGGCCTGATTAAAATTTCAATTGGTTTAATTGATTTTTTTTTCTCAGTGTGTTGTATGCAGCACGGTCGCGTATTGATAGACGCTACGTGTCTACCGATTAGTCGCCGAGCAGGGCTATGGATATTGTGATGGTCCGCCGGGATGTCGAACGTGGAGGTTCAACTCGGAGGATCTTTAAGGCAGGCCAGAATGTGTGCATGTCGCGTACACACGTGTTCCCTCGCGGGAGTCCGTGTGCCGTCCCCTCCCCTTTCCCCTGTATCCCCCTGCACCCCCACGGCACCAACGGATGTTCAGACCTCAGGCCTTCGTTATGGTTCAAGTATGTATGTATATAAAAAATATATTTTCAGATTGAGGAATATCGCCTTAACTTTTTATCCCACAGCATCTTGATATAGTGATTTGGAAAACCATCGCCAACCAGGTACGTATACTTATAGCAGCCGAAAATATGCTAAAGCATGAGCTGTAATTAGCAAAATCAGAACAGTGATTATGAGGTACCCCAACAGGATATCGACCACGTTATTAGTTAGATGCCCAGGTCTGTCAATGAGTGTATAAGAAATCGTGGATCCTCAACACATTATTGAACCAGCTTCTGCAGTCAGTTGACGAATCAAGCAGAAAACTTAATCATTTTACGAGTAAGGGACACTGAACATATATGCCAAAAATTATTAAAATCGGATAAGCATACGTAGGTTTTTCACTTTTTTGTCACTCAGTATATAATCGGCCATGACTACCAGAAATATAAATATCTATAAAAATCACTCGCTCTGATAATAATTATTATTTCCCTCAATCCAGGACCGCTTACAGGTTTTATCTGAAAAATTCAATAGATTCACGATATATGAGACGTATCGAACTATGTCATACGTTATATAATTTATTCGATTTCTAAGCAAACATACCACATATTTACGACATTAACTTTGTAATGTACTGTTGTCTCAAGAGGGTCTATCGTAAAAGGTTAAGATGTAACCGACCTATAAAGGGCAATGCTAATATATTAAAACGATCATCATAATATGGGTAAATATGAACTTATATTTCCCTTTAGATATACTAAGTGACATATAAATCCGAACACCCAGTTTAAATGGTTTTATTTTAATAAAAGTTGGTGAATGTATTTATCTTACTATAAATAACAAGTGAAAAAATTTTCAGCCTTATCAGTTGGACATTCCGGTTTTTATACTGCTTTTTTTTAATTCACTAACGCTCTAAAAATGAATATTTCAGCCGCAGTAAGGAATCAACGTTGGCGGATTTTGGTTTTTGACATCCTTTACAATCGGTTACGATGCATAGAGTACGGAGACCTGTACGATTTCGTCAACTTAGTGAGTTTGATAGGGGCCGTATAGTGGGACTTCGGGAAGCTGGACTTTCTTTTCGGGAAATTGCAGTTAGAGTGCAAAGAAGTGTAGAACTGTGGTTAGGTGTTGTCAGGCATGGCTTCGAGAAGGCCGCCGTAGAACAACAGACCGTGAAGATCGCCGCCTAAGATTATTGGCCTTAAGGGACCGTTTCTCCACTACCAGGTCCATTGCAAATGAATGGTTTGCAGAACACGGAAGACCTATTGGCATGCGAAGTGTTTACCGACGAATGAGAAGTTTTGGCTTGTTTTCATACCGGCCGCACTGGGTCCTCCCTTTAACTCGAGAACACCGACGTAATCGCCTTGAATGGTGCAGACAACGGTCACTCTGGGATCAGGAATGGAACAGTATTGTCTTTAGTGACGAGTCTCGATTTTGTTTAGGCATGCACGATGGTCGTGCCAGGGTTAGAAGGCGACGTGGTGAAAGGAGGAATCCACAGTTTTTTGTTGAAAGACATGTTCATCACACTGTTGGAGTTATGGTTCCAGGTCACCTTTAATCTTCATCAGAGGTAACATGAACGCGCAGCGTTATATCCACGAAGTTCTAGAACCCCATCTTTTACCCTATCTTGACACCCTGGCAGATCCAACTTTCCAACAAGATAATGCCCGACCACATGTTGCAAGAGTCACAATAGACTTCTTTCAACATAATGATGTCACATTGTTACCATGGCCACCAACATCTCCCGACTTATCCCCAATTGAGCACGTCTGGGATATGATGGGTAGGAGATTGCTCAATTTGCAACGTCCTCCTCAGACTCTAGAAGCACTTCGAGAGGAGTTGGTGGTTGCCTGGAATGAGATACCACAGGAGGACATTGACCACCTGATCAGAAGCATGTCTAGGCGCGTTGGAGAATGCGTAGCACGTCAGGGTGCATCCACACATTATTAAAGGTCAAAGGGCTTTAAAGCAGTGCAATCATTTTGAAATTTTTATCATTTACTTATTATGCTTCATTAAGTAGTTATACAAAATTTTATTAAAATAACACCATTTAAACTGGGTGTTCGGATTTATAAGTCACTTAGTATATTAGACAGCTTTGGCTATCAAAAATACCACACACTATACAGGATATCTTGAAAGCTACAACGTTTGAAATATCAAAGCTATTGTGAGCTAAAGCAACGGAAACAAAATTTCATGTACTGCTCTGTCACATGCTTTGTTCGTAAATAGTGTTGTCGCCATTAGGTTCAGATGCACAAGTTTGTTAACTTTTTAATCAATTTGCAACATCTGGTGCGATCTAGGACATCTATTGTTTCGACGATATAAATAAATCTACGCAGCTAGGGACGGAAACATCTAGGAAAATGATCCGAATACATTCGCGAAGTATCAGTAGAATCTTGAATAAGCTCACCGAGAACTAACATCAAGTCGAAAACTTTATTATGGCTATTGAAATATGGCGGTTCCGGTTTTCCCAAATCCATTCGTAAAAAAAGCTGGCCTGTTTTCTTTTGCTTTTATTTTTATTATAAGAAAAATATACGAAAAGTATGTATTTTTTTTATTACAGATTAGAACTGTCAAATTGTCACTGTTTTCAAATTGTTTATAAAGGGTGCTTCAATAGGGATGCAATATTTCAGGGTTCTATTAAACATGGTATTTCGTAACAAACAACTGAAATATTTATTGGATTATGGTGTATACACTTTGGCATTACGTATGAAACAACATATCAGGTAAATAGCTGCCACGACTCCGCACTCTTCTAATAAAATTTGTGGTAACATTTTTGAACACATGTCGCTGATACAGCGTCTAATTTCAGCTTTCACTGCTTCGGTGGTTGCAGGCTTGTTGGCATAAACTAGTGTTTTCAGATAACCCCAAGGCCAAAACTCCAAAGGTGTTAAACCGCAAGAGCGTGGCGGCCAATTCTGGTCACCAAACCGGGAGATGACTTGACCAGGAGCAAACTGTTGCAAAACTGACAATGTTTCATAAGCAGTATGGCATGTGGCACCATCCTGCGAAAACCATATGTCATTAAAAGCCATGACTTCTAATTGTGGCACAAAAAACTGAGTAATTATATTCCGAACGAATATTAGCTGCACTTTTAGAATCGCGAGAATTAAACTTTCACGACTTTGGTAATAATTTTAAACAATTAGGATACGCTGTTCTATTGTGTAATGATTCATTTTCATAAACTCCCCCATACTATCGATCTGTCATGTCACAATCATTATGACATTATGACTTCCAAAATGGCGCTAAATTCAAATACTGCGTTCTTATTGATACACCCTTTATATCACCTTCGAAAACAAACAGAATTAAATGGAACTCTGTAGGTTGCTGCGGGGACGTATCGTAAAAAATGTTATAAAATTTTACGTGGAATTATAACTAGTCTTTTGGCACGGCTATTATTAAAAACTATCTTATCAAGGATTCTTAGATTACATGATGTGCATTCTGAAACTTCATAATTGTTGCCTCTCTGGTAAATCACATTTTTCTTGCCAATACCAGCATTTGTCGTTCTAACTACCCACTGGACAAAGAAAATGCAATGCACAAGATTGCCTAGTCATCGTACGATGACTCTCCGTCTTATCGTACTTTCGCCTAGTGCGTCGGTGATCAATAGAGACTCGGACTTTCGACAGAAACCACCTACTCCTAGCTCTATCTGATGCTAAGAATGCATAACATACTGTTTTAGAATATTCGTACAAAACAAAACAGGAGCAGCTTCTATCAGACATCAGAGTTGCATTTGTCATATTCATGTATGGACTCACCCTTTTCATTAATATCCCATAAAACAATGGTGGCACCGAGCTTGGCAAGTCTAAGTGCCACCAGTCTACCCAGTCCTCCTCCACCTCCCGTAACCAGCGCAATTTGTCCTCTGATGTCCTTTTTTGGTAGGTGCGTGGATGGCAGGCAGGACTCGTATATCGCTTTCAATATCAGGTACACCGCTGTTAATAGGAACACCAATACATCCAGGACGGAGCGCGCTACGCCCTTGTCTTCCTGGAAAGAAAGTTATCTTCAGTCCAACATGTAGGAGTTTTGAGGTCACAAAAAACAATACAAGGCTGAAAGAATCAGGGTCTACAAGTGGGATTTTCTGCCCTGAAAATAACTTAAACTACAAGTTCCATTTATGAAGTTATTGTTTTTAAATATTTTTTACATATTTTAGAACATAGGTATTTTAAACTTTTATCAACAGATTTCTTTTTATTTTAGTACTTTGTCCAAAATTCACCAATATTCGGATATTTAACTTAGTATTTTTATATAAACGCAATACTCTCTACCTTAAATCTATAATAAATCACTCGAAGATATAAAACCTACAGTGCTTTTTAGAAAGGCTTCCCACTAATGCTAGTGGAGTGGAGTAAACGCTATTATTTAACTTGACCTATATGCTAGTATGTGTGGGACCTTTTAGAACTGAATTTTAAACCAATTAACCTTAAGCATTTGAGCTGAACTCTTGTACACACTATTGGTTTGCGTGACAATACAAGATGAATTAACTGCCGCCGTTTTCAATCCGATATGGCAGATGCTACTTAATGGCGATTCATCATTTCCACAGTAACTCCTATGATAATACTGATATCAAGTAAGAGAGCTTCATGAGTGAAAACCAATAAGCAAAGTGACGTCATATGGCGATAACCGCAGAAAGGCAATTTAAATTTTTCATACCTACGACGTGGGTTTCAAAAGAAAGGGCTTGACGAGGGAATCATAATTAGTGAAGTGACGTCATTCTGAATACAATATGGCAGTTAGCGCAAAATCGCCATTTATAATTTCCATAGGCACCCCTATACAATGGGTATCAAATGAAAGGACATGAGAGAAACACAACAAGCAAATAACGTCATTCTAAATTCCATATGACGATCGCCTCAAAATATCGTTTTTATCTAGCGAAATTTTATAATAGAGGTATGAAGTTGTCAATTGATCCAATATGCAGATGACATTTGCATCTATTCAGAAAACCGCCTACTTGACCATTGTATTACAGCACTTGACTCGTCTATGGTGTCCTTCAAAAAGTATTTTTTCGAAAACGGTTTTTCCATATCACTAACGAAATCGTCTGTTTGCTTTTTTTCGCGGCATAATGTGTCAATCCAAAATAATATTTCGTTAGGAGGACTTTCATTCAAGGTGGAAACCTGTGTGAAATACCTTGGCATCTTACTTGACAAAAAGCTCTCATGGAAACCATTTATAGAGCAGATAGTTTGCAGGTGTGAAAAGGCATTCAACTTTTTCCAAATGATCTGCAAAGTTTTGTGGGGTGCAGAAAATAGCAATTATGTTCTATCGCTCTTATGTTAGATCCATTCTTGATTATGGTAGTATTCTTTATGGCTCGGCAAGCAGAAATCTACTTAAAAGGTTAGACATTATTAGTTACAAGTTCATCAGAGAATGTCTTGGAGCTATGAGATCTCACCAGTTGAACCACTACGGGCAGAAGCTCAAGAGCCTCCATTACATCTTCGTAGAGAGATGTTAGCAGATTCCTACTGAAAATGCGTCAAAACAATTCTGCTATACTACACAAAACTTACCAGCTTAATTCACTTGATCTAATATGTAAATACTGGACCAAAAGGAATTCTCCGCCCATATGCAGTGCTATTCAGTCTACAACTATTTTGCACAACACTATAAGTGGCAGGTAACCCCAATGTGCACACTATTTCGAATCAATTCAAGAGATCAACATTTTAATTCCTCCCTACAGCCTACAACAACAATTAATTCTGAATCAATTTCGAGACGTCCAGAACAGTTTATCAGGTAGCATCTGTATATACACAGATGCATCAAAATCTTTTATATTCCTTCCTTGGATCTTTCTCGCAAGTACAAACTGGAACCTGAATTCTCAATATTCTCTGCTGAAGCTGTTGCGATTTTGCAAGCTCTTTCCTTCTCAGATGACAATAATCTAGGTGATGTATCCATTTTTCAGACTCACTGTCAGTCCTGAACAGCCTCAAACACTTGAAACCTCATGACTTTAACAATAATCACATCATGAGCATAAGAAATAAAATATGCCGTTTAGATAGAAAAGGGCATAAAGTTACAATAGTATGGGTGAATTCCTACTGTGGAAACACTTATAATGAAATTGTTGATCAATTAGCGAAAGACAGTATTATTGATGGCTCTGCAATAGACATTCCTTTAAACACCCAAGATCAACAATTGAATGGAGTAAATACTGTCAAACTAATCCCACACGATATACCATGTTATATCCAACGCTTCCAGAATCTTACTGGCACAATAACTATAAAATTCCTAGGAAATATTTATCCATCATCATCCGAACAAAAATTGGACATGATACATTTCCTTCACACCTAGTTAGACTCAATCTGCGCTCATCCGATTTGCGTGATGCTTGTGAAGAGCATGGAGATCTGGATCATTATTACTTTGGCTGCTCCAGGTTTCTAATTCACTCCAATATACTCTACAACAATCTTCTCAAATGTGGACTAGCTGCTCCACTGAACACGGCGTATATATTTTCGTTAAATAGGTCTGATGTCTTCTATATCGTCCAATTTATTAAAAATTCAGGCATGGTAATCTAGGGCTTGTTACTAGATATCCTGTGTTGTACACCTCTGTTATTATATCCCTACCTACCGTAGCCTATGTATTGTGTGTCTACCAATAAATGCCCTGACGGGTCCCTGGGCGAGAAGAATTTGTGTCCCTGTCAAATCCTCATATTAGGGTTGTACACAAGGTATAAGCTTTATGTATCCCCAAAGCGGAAGTTTTTTTCCACCCTTTAGAAAGACTTTAATGTCTGCACATGCATACTCTGTATTTCCTTCCATTTAAATAACCACGATAGCTCTCAATAAAGATGAAGTGTCTGGCTAATTGGACTAGATCCTAGTGCCAAAAAAAAAGGTATGAAGTTTTATGGAGTCCAGCTAATGAAACCAAATACGAAAATTACATAGATATCACCAAACTAGTTATTAGATATCATAAATACTAAAAAAAACAAATAAGATAAAACACACATTTTTAAAAACGAGCGTTTATTTAGCGTTAATAAAGCGAACTAAGAATTTAAAAATATGTTTTTCCGATTTGAGTTATTTAAACGATAAGGAAGCACGTTCAAATAAAAGCGTGTTTTGACAGTAGGATGTACACGCTTTAACTTGAAAACTTGAGATGAAGGAGCTGGCTGACTGACTTAAAATTTTTAGTTCACCTTATTAACAGGTAAAGCTTGTTTTTTAAATGTGTTTTCTATATTATTCATTAGATATGTTCTGTGCCTTAGTATTTTGTTACGGATTTGAAGAATGTCGCGACAATGCGCTCATATAAACATACTTATGTTAAATATTCGAAAATGAATGAATGAATTTTGGACAATAATGCCAAAGGTGTGAACTTTGGGCTTTTAAAAAATGATCAAGTACTGCACTAAAAAGAAAAATGTTGATGAAAGTTCAAAGTACATAAATGTTCTGAAACATTTGAATCCAAAGATTTCATAGATGTGATAAACTTGAAATTTGAGTTATTTTCCCGCTTATAGTTAGTAGTAGAAAATTTATTATTTTCCTTATACAGGGTGGTCCATATGGTCCATAAGTCCTTTGAAATTTCAAATTTGAATAAAATTTAACGGGTGAGCGTGAGCGGCGCGGGCGAGGTGGGGGCAGTATCTTCAGTGTCTGGGAATTCAGTCGCCATGGAGCGGATCGTGCTTTTTGTGTGCGCGCGTTTTATCAAAATAATGTTTCGGCAACCATTGCGCGGCGTAAATATCGAGAATACCACAATTTACACAATTTTACAAAGTGTCCAACAGCTCAAACGATTAAGAACTGGGTTGCTAAGTTCGAAGAGACTGGTTCGACGTTAGATAAACAGCGGTGGGGTCGACCAAGGACAACTCGTATTGAAGAAAACATTGTGGCACAGTCTGTTCGTCAAAATCCTACCCAGTCTACTCGTAAGCGTTCCAGTGCACTAAACGTACCCAGAACATCTTTACAGCGGATTTTGAGGAAATATTTACGTCTGCACGCTTACAAAATTCAGTTAGTGCAGGAATTAAAAGATAATGACGCTATTCAGAGACTAAACTTTGCGAATGAAATGTTGAATCGATTTTCTTCGCTCAATAATGTGTTGTTCTCGGACGAGGCTCACTTCCATTTAAACGGGCATGTAAATAAACAAAATTGCCGTTATTGGAGCCCCGAAAATCCAAGGCGTAAGCATCAGAAGCCCTTACACAGCCCTAAAGTTACAGTTTGGGCTGCTATGTCAGCGCATGGCATCGTAGGCCCTTATTTTTTTGAGGACGACAGAGGTCGCGCATTAACTGTTACTTCGGAGCGGTAAGTAGCAATGATAGAGGAGTTTTTGACAACAGCGTTGCAGAATTTTCCAGGCTATAATACGCAGACCTGGTTTCAACAGGACGGAGCAACTGCCCACACCTCCAACACTTCTATGCCCGTCGTCTGTCAACTTTTTCCCAGCAAAGTAATTTCTTGAAGAGGAGACATTTCCTGGCCACCACGTAGTCCAGACTTGACCCCAATGGACTTCTTTTTATGGGGCTACCTCAAGAGTAAAGTGTACGACACCACTCCGCGATCAGTTGATGTCCTGAAAGAAAATATCCGAAGAGAAATGGCAAGCATTACAGTGTTGACTTGCCGCGCAGTCATCGACAATTTTAGACGTCGTTTATATGAGTGCCGTGATCGTAATGGATTGCATTTAGACGATGTGATTTTTAAAACATAATTCCCATTCAATAAAGATGATAACAAAATATAATAATTCTTCATAATGTAAGTTTGGTTTTATTCCTTTTTTTCCAGCTCAAAGGACTTATGGGCCACTCTGTATATACAAAAACATGCACAATTGTTGAAACCTGTATTGTTAGAATGATCCGAGAAAAAGATCCCCCAGAAACAACGTGAGGAATACTTCCAGCTATTTTCTTTCTAAAATTTGGTATGGTGTACATCTCAACACGTGTCTATGGATCTAAAGATTTCAGGGATTACGGGGGCTTCATGTTGGGAAGCCCGTACCCTGTTACTGCATATTGTGGGTTCAGTACACGATATATAACAGCCGTTTATATTTAGTTGCATCCTAGCATCATTTATTGTATATAGGTATACAGCTACAATCTACATACTTGTGAGCTTTGTCGAGAGGGTGTTGAGATAATAATTGTGTACTCTGTCTAAAAAATAAAGCATGATAACCACTACTTCGACTTCTTTAGTAGGCAGAGTGTACTGAAGTTTCTGAGAAGAGACATACTGCTCAGTTGCTGTCTGTTTTAATCACTCCTCGAATTGTTCGGGTTAATTAGTGTACAGAGTAAGGTGTTTTTGTGTATAAATTAGAGTAATGCGTTTGAGCAGAATATATACCTTGAAAATATCGATAAAACGCAGACCTATTTAGGTCTATCGAAATATTTATCGAAAATCTGGAAACCTATAGAAAAACGACTGTAATTCACGTCAATAGTGGACCGCTCCGTAGAATCCTGAACAGTTTTAGTAAAAAGTTTGTCTCGGAGCAATGCTCGATACATGCAAGTTTGGGGCGCCTTGTTCAAGTGATGAAATTGCAATGTTGCCGCCGATAGGGAATGATAAGAATGTAAATAAAAAATAAACATGTAGTATATAGAGGTATGTTTCACCGAACACACAATATGCTGCCCAACATGGAACACCTGTATCTCTAAAACTACTCATGGCAAATCTTCAGGACACCTTTGTACTGCGTGTTGAGGTCTACAACATATTTTATTAAAAAAATAGCCGAAAGCCATTTCCCTCAAGGGCTATGCGAGGTCTTTCCCTATAACTACTTAAGTCTTACTTCCTACGCCACTGACCAAAGAAGTTTTTCTCTTATAAAATCCTTTTATTTGATACCCATATTTTAGGAGTGCCTGTGGAAAGTATATATCGCCGTCTTGTGGCATCAGCCATATTGGATTAAAATGGCGGCAATTAATTCATAGTGTACTGTCACGCGAACCAAACGTATATATAAAATTTTACCTCAATTGCTGGGGGTTAACTAGTTCAATATTCGGGTTCAAGATCACACATACTGCATTCATACTAAGAGCTCACGTTAAATGAAAACTTGCAAAAATAAAGCTCGGATCACCTCTAACATATCGAATCAAAATAAACTATATGGTGACATCCAAATAGTTTTGAAGTTTGATGTTCAAAAATACTCGCGAATAGACCACCTTCCTTGCTTACGCGCAGAAAAGAAAATAGAGATAAGCATAAAACTAGTATTGAATTAATTGATCATGGAAAGAAAAGTGTGAAGGTAAACATGATTTATTTCGAATAATTATTTGAACCATGAACCATCAATGTATCTGCATTTAAAAACAAAGTATAAACACGGATGCGTAATAAGCACATCGGAACGTAGAGATGTAGGTGTTATTCTACAATTTATGAAGGCAGCAAAATGCATAGTTTGTTATTCTTCAGCAAGGGCTGAGAACAATAAGTCAAAACACTTTTGTATGAGATAAACAATTAGGAATTAACAACAACATCTGAAAATATCGTAGCTCAATAAGTAACAATTAAAATAATAGAATCTACTAGTGTAATACATACCTTTTGGACCGTCATGCCTTGTTTGTGATCGGGCTTTGTTTGTTTTGGGGACTTGTTAGAGCGGCAGCTGCCTGAGGATCATCGTTGAGGTTATCTGCAGGTCGCCGGCATCTCACTTCTTATCTGCAACAACAACTTATTTTGAATACAAGTCAATTTCAGAACAACGGCGCTTTTTAGGGGCATGGAAGGGGTTCCTTCCCGGATAATTGAAACCCAAAATGACCAATGGAACATGCAAACATTGGTACAAGCCATTAACTCGCCGCTGGTTATACAGAGCATGAGAAAGTGTATCAACATTGCCAAACTCTTTGTTAAAAAAGTGCATAGAAAGAAACGGCAAAGTTATTATTCATTGTTCTGCACTGGCACTATTGGAGAACTCGACTAAAAAATGTAAGTGCCTATAGGTATCCCTTATCTTTGGGTTTTAATGATGAAAATTGTTAGCATGCGTAATATTGCTAACAACAACAAAGTACAGCAGAATAACTCAGAAACAAAGCCGGTTCCATCTTAACCGAATGTCCAAATTATTTTTCTGAATCTACATCTTTACAAAACATTTTTGTGATGCATAGTACCTTGGTCTATACTCCGCCCATGGTACTGATGTCGGACAATCAAACGGGAAATATTTTTAGGCTTATAGTAGCACTTTGTAAAATTATTATGAATGGTTTGATAAAACGTTGTTCTATTACCATTCGCTTTTTAAATTCCTTCATCCCATGTGTACTTCTGTGTTTAAAATATTACGAATATTTAATGATACTGCGCAAACGTTTTTCATGCCATTATTTTTATTGTATAGATATATGGACTCATAATTATCTCATTATAGTGAGCATATCAACCAAATAGCTATGACTATGCTAATACTAATTTTGCTCCGCAATGGAACATTTTTTAATATATGTGTCATTTTTAAGAATAAAATTTCCTATGTAACGTACAGAGTGTAAATGTTATGGTTGTCATTATTGAAATGGGTAATAGGGGGGGGGGAGTCAAAACAAGTCAAAAAGTTCATATGACCCATGGTCTAAAAGTCAATTTTGTCTAAATAGCGCTTTATAGTTTACAACTTTAAGTGCTTTAGATCGACCACAATCTTACTAATTTTTATAATCTAATCTAAAACGTTTTTAAATTGGGTAATTAACAAATAAATAGCATTAAGTTTTTCTAAGTTAAGCCAAAATTTATCGTCAGTAAGTAAGTTTCATTAAATTGAATATTTAAAACAGACATGACAACAGCGCGTCGGTCATCATCACTCTTATCGAACTGGCAATCGATCGCAAACGGTAACAGTGGTAAGTATGCTGTTTTGTTTTTGTTCGCGTACGTCGTCATGCTTATTTATAATGTTCTCGAATCGCCGACATGTTGTTAGTTTATGGTAAAGCTCGTCAGAATGCAGATCTTGCAGCTCAAATTTATTGCGACAGATTTCGCCAACAGGTACACCCAAACAGAAGGACATTTGTGCAAGTGTACCAAAGACTTAGAGATACAGGAAGTGTTCAGCTCACTAATATTCGCACTCGTGAAAGACAGGTTACTATAGAGCAGGAGGAACAAATTTTAAATATCGTGGAAATCAATGCAGATATCAGCGCTCGGGAATTAGGCCGCCGCGTAGGACTATCGCATACCATAGTCCATAGAATCCCACGGGAAAATTTGCTTTATCCCTAACATGTACAACGAGTGCAGGCCTTGTTACCAGAAGACTATCCTCGCAGACTAACATTCTGTTAGTGGTTTTTGGACAAAAACATTGAAAATCCGGATTTTTTTAAAAACATTCTAGCGACGGACGAATGTACTTTTACGCGAGATGGGATATTAAATTTCCAGAATACTCACACGTGGGCCTCATACCATTCGTGAAGGTAATTTCCAACAAGGTTTTAAAATAAATATTTGGGCGGGTATTCTTGACGATCAGGTAATTGGCCCTTTCGAGTTACCCCCAAAGTTGTCAGGACAAGGATAACTTAGCTTTATAGCCAATAACCTACCAGAACTTTTGGAACAGACCTTAGACAACATGTCATAACAATTGAGACACAATTTGCGGTTTCTTCAAGACGGGGCACCACCACACATTTTTAGAGGCGTCATTCAGTATTTGAATGAACATTATCCAAATCGAGATCTTCTGACCTCAATCCGATAGATTTCTGATACTGGGGAGAACTTAAAGGGATGGTTTATGGGGCTAGTCCAATAACAACTGAAGCACAACTTCGCGAATAAAAATGTTATGCGACTGAAAGAATAAATGGACAACTTCTAGGTCCTAGAGTAAGAAGAAACTGAGTTCATCGTAATGAAGCTTGAGTGGAAAGTGGAGGACGACATTTTGAACGCCTTCTTCAAATGCAAAAAAGTGCAGTGTGGGTTTTAAAAAGGAAAACAATGTATGTATCAGAATTTTTTTGCCTATTTATAAGTGGATTTTTTTAATACGTTCAATAAACTTTCACACACCAGGTGAAGCGCACAGTTAGTGGTAAGTCCGTTTTTTTTAATTGTTTGCGTTTTTTCCATAGAAATAACAAAAAACGATAGAACCTAATAAGCATTCTAAAATGATACTTGAGGACCTGATATATGGAACTGTTACAACAAGCTTATCCAAAGGTCGTTTTAGCTAGGTTATAAAGATGTATAAAAATAAATAACTACTGAATAAGAAAACCGACAGAAAGTATAAGTAGGTTTGTATAAAACAGTCAACAGAAAATCATCAATGCTGCGATGGTTCACAAAGTTGCGCAATTGTGTGTATTTCGAGGGTATAACAATCCTCTTTATTGTACAAAGTACAATCCGAAGTGCGAGACTTTGTATATCCTTCTCCTAATCTAACCCTAACAGAGTCTGTGGCAGTGAGACTTAGTTCGATATTGTGAATTATTTGTTAATGTTATTTTTAAGGAAATTTCATACGCTGATGGATTAGTAGAAAAATAACAAAAAATAAAAACAAATGTACCAGAAAGTCAGGTAGTAAAATAGAATCACTGTTGATACAGTAGAAATGTTTCAGGCTTCAGGCAGATTTTTTGAAGTTACGATTCTTATGGTGGTAAATTTTGATCATATGAAAAACATTTTTTCATTACTGTTTATGTTTGACAAAACTCTTCCAGAATATCCTGTTAATAACAGAAATCTTCAAAACGGAATGTACTGAAACCACCCAAGCACTGTGGATTTATTGTATCGTTATAAATATTCTCTGTAAAAAGCTTAGATACTTTGGCCTGCCCTCATCGGCTTGCAGGCTGATTAGAAGCTACTGATCGCTCACAGTCTGTTATCTAGGAAAATATTATATCAACGTCTTTATTCAGAAATTTTGGTGTCCCTCTAGGATCTATTTTGAGTTCCGTTTTGTTTGCCCTTTATACAGGGTGTCCGCAAAGTTGGGGTTTTCCTTTACACGATGTGTAGATCTTAAAAACATAAGCAATTTTTCTTAGTACCATATACACCAATGTCTTAAGGGAACCGAGATAAAGGGCTCTGCAACATCAAAAATATCTTAATACCGTCCTGTAGCCGCGACATCCCCCAGTGGTACTAGGACACTAGCTCAACCCGACGACAGAACTGGGTCGGGGTCAGTGTGTCAGGTCAGTATGCAACCTTCAACCGACGGTTACGGTCACGCGTGTAGAGATAATCGCGTAGACGTGAATCCCTCAACAAGCACTAGAGACGTGGCTAGAGAAGTGCAAGTATCAAAAACTAAAGTGTGGCAAACGATGCGTGAAGAGGGGCTGTATCCGTTTCACGTCCAACGTGTACAAGCCCTTCAACCTGACGATTTTCCAGCAACAGTGCGGTTTTGTGAGTGGTTGTTGCATCAACATGACAATAATCCGGACTTTTTGAAGTGCATATTGGTGACAGACGAATCTACGTTCACGCGTAATGGGGTGAATAACTTTCGCAACACTCATGTTTGGTCAGTAGAAAATCCGCACGCTGTCCGTCGGGCACATTTTCAACAAACATTTTCGGTGAATGTTTGGGCTGGCATGGTGAATGGTAGGCTCATTGGACCATTTATTCTCCCAAATCGATTGGACGGGATGCAATACCTTTTTACTTACTTTTTACGAAACATTTTGCCTTCCTTGTTTGCCTGCGTCTGCTCGGTAGCGCATCAGCTGATTTCATTTTCTGTTGGAGCGGTATGATTTCGGGCAGAGACGTACTTAGCCCTTCTCGTCAACTGGAGAGTGAGTACTTTTTCCTTTATTTTTTTTACTTGGTCGCCCTCGTTTCACTACACATTACCTTTGTTATTTCAAGGGTAGTTGTTTCTGAAAAGGAAAACCCCAACTTTGCGGACACCCTGTATATGTGATTTTCATGAAACTGCCAGCTACTCAATCGTTCATCATTACGCCGATGATTTTTTTTACTATTTTCTACTATTTTTGTTTCAAATTTGAAACTCTCACAGTACTATCTGCATTTGTCTCGTGCAGTCAATGTTGTCATGCTTATGAACTGTATTTTTTTTTGTATGTTATTATTTTGTTTATGTGTTTAAGTATTCTTTTTTTTTTTCTGTTGTGGGGTTGAGTGTAAGAGTAGCCGTCTGGCTAAACTTCGCCTCACTGCAGCTAATAAAGGCATTATTATTATTATTATTATCATTATTATTATTATGCCCAACTTTATAACAGCTTCGATCCTGATGAATATATGCTTGGCCAATATCATATCAATCAAGATCTGCAGTCTATTTTTGACATATCTAGTGCTCACAATCTAAAACTGAATGCTGGCAAATCTTGCTGCATTTTATTTGGGCCCAAAAAGAATCGTGAAATATATCAATATCACATTAATATTATGGTGAATAATGAAGACATATCTTTCGTAAACGAATGCAAAAACCTCAGTATCTGGTTTGACTGCAAGCTACGCTTCACTAAGCATGTCAATCAACTATGCAATGCGTCCTATAATGTGCTTCGTCAGTCATACCCGAGTCGAAGTGTCCTGTCAACACAGCTCAAGCTTAAACTCTGCGAATCTCTTATCCTGCCAAAATTATCTTACGGTGACTCTGTTTATGGACCTGCTCTCTTACAACGTGATGCCGAGCGGATTCAGATGATACAAAACCCATGCATCAGATTTTCTTATAGAATCCGTAAATTTGATCATATTAGCAGCGCTTTTGACCAACCGGGATGGTCTAAGATGAACAAATTGAGGAAACTGCATTGCCTATCTGTGGTACATAAGACCCTTGTCCTTAAAGCGCCATATTGTCTTTTTTCAAAGCTAAACCTCCTCTGTCAGTACGATCAAAGATCCTCTAGGAATAAATGCATCTTACTTATCCCGCGGCATTCGACAGCATTGTTCACACGTAGTTTCTCGTACTGGGCACCCAAACTATACAACTGCTTGTCAAGTTAGTATAAAGAATATAGCCCAAGAAATTTTAAAAAAAGGTTAAAGATGAGTTTAAAGCAATCGTATGGCTAGAATTTAACTTTACGCATATCCACAGGTAATTTATTGTTTCCTTTTTCTGAGAAGTGTAATATTTTAAGCTTTTATCTTTTTGGTGGTCAATGTTGTGACCTGTGCCATTTAAATGTAGGTACTTCTTTTTCTCTTCATAGTTTGTGTCAATGTTTTTTAGGTCAGGTTGAAAAACAGCATAAGCTGACACTCCACATTTTCGTCACTATTCCTTTTAAGCCAATTATTTTGTAATAATGTGACGAATAAAGGCCATTTATTATTATTATATTATACTGAAGGAGCATTCTCACAAGCCTCTGTTTAATTACTACACAAAGTTTTGCTTTTGACAGGATCCACAACACAGATGTTCAATTAAACCAAGCACAAAATTGTTATCACGTGAAAAGTATGAAACACCATGGATTTGGAGAATAGCAATTTCCAGAAGTTTTTTGTTATGACAACCGTCAAAGTGCTTGAAGCCGACTGAATATATACTAATACATATAAATCCGAACACCCAGTTTAAATGGTTTTATTTTAATAAAAGTTGGTGAATGTATTTATCTTACTGTAAATAACAAGTGAAAAAATTTTCAGCCTTATCAGTTGGACATTCCGGTTTTTAACTGCTTTTTTTTAATTCACTAACGCTCTAAAAATGAATATTTCAGCCGCAGTAAAGAATCAACGTTGGCGGATTTTGGTTCTTGACATCCTTTACGATCGGTTACGATGCCTAGAGTACGGAGACCTGTACGATTTCGTCAACTTAGTGAGTTTGATAGAGGCCGTATAGTGGGACTTCGGGAAGCTGAACTTTCTTTTCGGGCAATTGCAGTCAGAGTGCAAAGAAGTGTAGACACTGTGGTTAGGTGTAGTCAGGCATGGCTTCGAGAAGGCCGTACGCAAAGAGCAAGGGGCACTGGACGCCGCCGTAGAACAACAGACCGTGAAGATCGCCGCCTAAGATTATTGGCCTTAAGGGACCGTTTCTCCACTACCAGGTCCATTGCAAATGAATGGTTTGCAGAACACGCAAGACCTATTGGGATGCGAAGTGTTTACCGACGAATGAGAAGTTTTGGCTTGTTTTCATACCGGCCACACTGAGTCCTCCCTTTAACTCGAGAACACCGACGTAATCGCCTTGAGTGGTGCAGACAACGGTCACTCTGGGATCAGGAATGGAACAGTATTGTCTTTAGTGACGAGTCTCGATTTTGTTTAGGCATGCACGATGGTCGTGTCAGGGTTAGAAGGCGACGTGGTGAAAGGAGGAATCCACAGTTCTTTGTTGAAAGACATGTTCATCACACTGTTGGAGTTATGGTTTGGGCTGCTATAGCTTATGGTTCCAGGTCACCTTTAATCTGCATCAGAGGTAACATGAACGCGAAGTTCTAGAACCCCATCTTTTACCCTATCTTGACAACCTGGCAGATCCAACTTTCCAACAAGATAATGCCCGACCACATGTTGCAAGAGTCACAATAGACTTCTTTCAACATAATGATGTCACATTGTTACCATGGCCACCAAGATCTCCCGACTTATCCCCAATTGAGCACGTGTGGGTAGGAGATTGCTCAATTTGCAACGTCTTCCTCAGACTCTAGAAGCACTTCGAGAGGAGTTGGTGGTTGCCTAGAATGAGATACCACAGGAGAACATTGACCACCTGATCAGAAGCATGCCTAGGCGCGTTGGAGAATGCGTAGCACATCAGGGTGCATCCACACATTATTAAAGGTCAAAGGGCTTTAAAGCAGCGCAATCATTTTGAAATTTTTATCATTTACTTATTATGCTTCATTAAGTACTTATACAAAATTTTATTAAAATAAAACTATTTAAACTGGGTGTTCGGATTTTTATGTAACTTGTATATAATGTTACATCCAAAACTATACATTATTTAATTTTAAAAAGAGGCTTAAACTAAAACTACAAGTCGTGGTCGAGGACACAAAATGCTAGAAATATGGACTATTCTTGTAATTGTTCTGTTGTTAATTATTTAGTAATTATTGAGAATTATGGATACATTTTTATGGGTGGAATGTTTTATTATATATATTTTTTTGTTCTTTCAAAGGATAAGTTGAAAAAAGCTAATCTTAGCGACTCTTCGCCTTTTTTGTACTTATACTTAGGTACGAAATCAAGCCCATTGATTATTATTATTATTATTATAAACCGTATTATCATCCAGGCATATTCGCACGCTTTTGTTGGCACCCCCAAGTCGACAGACAGGACTTAATATCATAATTATAATAAAACGGCATTCATATCAGTTCATCCGTTTGGAGCTTATATGAGTATGTTAGGGTTAAACAGAAAAATGGGTCTTTAATCAACTTGACCGATTCTCATTGAGAGGTTGAATTAATAATCTACAAATTAATATACTCCATACATTACGCTTTTCGTTCTTGTATTGGGGGTTAAGAAGCTTACATTTCACAAACCTCTCTTAGAAGTTAAGTCCTATTGAAGGTCAAACACAACACAAATCTTGACAGTATATTTTGAGACACCAGTATTATCGCACAACGAAAAGCACCGAAAGCTCTTCAAAAGCTCTCTAACCGTAAATTCACTTTCGTACTCATAACGTGACTGAAAAAATTAAACGCCAGTCATCTCTTTATATTACTGCAACTTGCTGGTCAGAATCCTATTAATGAAAACTGAAACCAGTATGTCAAGTAGCTAACTACCTTTGTACCGTATAGGTCGCCATAGAAATTATCTAAATTGCGATACGTTGTTTTTCATTATATTGAAACTTTTTTATCAATTTGTAAAACACGAAAGTGATAGATGTAACCAGTAAAGTACCAACGATGGACTCTTGGTCAAGGTGATATTTGTTTTGTAAAATTAAGTCCGGAAACATGACGGTGCGTCGCAATTAAATGTAAATTATATTGCAATTAATACATATATTTCATGGTTCACAGAGGTATATGATTGCATCGAGAACATTCTAAATTTAGGGTCGTTTTTTTGTACATTTTCTTTGACTTAGATAATTTTCGACTGTTCCGTGTCAGCGCTCTATTTTGAGGTTATGTTACAAATATCCATTTGCCAATAATTTCCGGAACAGTAGAAATCTAGAAATAAACGCGATAATCCTGTGTAAACCATATAGTTCAGTTGTGCATTATTAGATGGCACCATATAATTAATTACATGTTTATCTGTGACGCAGAGCTTTCTGTTTCTCCGACTAAAAACTGTTATAAAAAACGTAAGTATTGAAAGCATTTAATTGAAAGTTGGGATGAATGTAGTAGAATATTTTTAGAATGAGCCCAAGTATCTGAATCGAACATTTCTGTCAAAGTTTTTTTTGTTTTAATCACATACCTTAAACATTAATGTTGTCTAATTTTGTATAGGTAAAATGTCTTAAAAATTTAGAACCCAATTATATGTATTTCAAACTATATTTTCCTATATATTTCTTTCAGTAAAATGCCTAAGAAAGAACTAAGAAATATATATAAATAGGAAAATAATGGGAAAAATCTGGAAAAAGAAGGAAAGTGGATTCGAGCGGAAAATAGGATATGTAACCCGAGCGATACGTATTTCTGCTGGTTGGCTTCATCAGGCCCGAAATGAATGCACATATGCAACTACAAAAGTAGATACACATGCCCATACATCTGGATACGGGTGTAACCTGAGGAAACGAAGATGGAAAGGAAAAAAATCATGGTCCACAACAAGAGCCAACCTACACATTATAATATAAAATGGCTAGGAGAACTCGAATTTTTAAGGCGACATCTAAGCACAACCACGCGGCCGATTATAGCCACGTGCTGTGGTAGTTCAAGTCCAAAGGATCTACAAAGAGAAAATGATCATGCGGAGAAAGTGGATTCAAGTGAGGGTTTTCACGTCAAGTATCTTGATATTACTTGATAATGTTTGTAACATATACAAATACTTTGTGGCAAGTTACAGGGAAAACAATACTTACTGAACAAAATATTTTGTTTATCGTATAACAAATAAAAATAAAAATTTCATCAGCTGATACAAAAAAAAAATGAAAAATTTTGAATTAGCTTTTGATTCGCTGACCATTAGCTAATAATAATATTTATTATGCATCTTGACATGAGAGGACATGTATTGGATTGGTCAAAATTAAACAAATATCTATAAGCTGATAAAGTCATTAACGGTTAAATACCATTTGTAAAGTAAAAAGTCTTTCAAGCGTTTTTAAAGCTGACAGCGGATTGATTGCACTTAATATATTCGGCAAGCCTATTAAAAATTCTAGATCCTAACACATTTGGTGACTTTCTAGAAGAATTATACTACGTGAACGGTATGCCGATCCGCGCTTTGCCGAGTGTTGACTCTAAGAGTTTGATTATTTAAAAGAAAATTGTTCTGGTTCGAGGTGTATATAGCCACCTCAAAAATAAATAATGAGGGTAGGGTCAATATAAGATGTTTCTCAAATACCTAAGTCTCTACCCCTATGTCTGGAGTCTACACCTGCCATGCATCGTAAAACCTTTTTCTGACTTATAAACATGCACAGATGATGAGCAGCACCAGAAGCAGAGACCGTATCTCAATCTAGAATCAATTTGAGCATAATATGTATAGTGTTATTAATTGATGCTCGGTTAGAATAGTTCTTAAATTTTTCATGATGAATGATTGTTAATTCAGTCTTGAAACTAACAGGTTACAGTGTATTCCAAAAACTAAGGTTGTCTAGATAAATACTGTTCCATGTCAGCCCTCTCCTACTGTGAGGCTATGTTTCCTTTTTGAATTGTAGGAAATTTCAGGATGATATAACTGATGATATAAATCAAAAGCATGAACAATTTGATGCAAATAGATATTTGTAACCTAACCTCAAAATAAAGCGGTGACACGGAACAGTAGAAAACTATGAAAATGAAGGATGCCATGACAATGAATTATAGGAACGACTGACGATACCGAGCTAAGAGCTTTACTTGCTCTGCGTTATAATCATAGGTTTGTTTCTTTAATTTTAAGATTTGAGGGACTGAGCCTTTTGCAATGCTGAAGTTTTATCCGAAATGAAGTACAGGTGGTGCTCCGAGAACCACTCATCTCGAACAATCAACAAATAATTACCAAAACATTTTTTTTATCACTGATATAGATGCTCAATAAAATTGGATCCTTGTCGAACATCCAAGTTGACAGTAGTTGATGAGGTTTCACTTGCACAATTGTATCATTTTATTTTCGTGCCAGAGATACATATTGCTTCCGACCCCAGAGAAACGAATTCAAGCAACTGTAAGCTGATTCAGATACTCCGATCTGGCTGAGTTTATTGAGCAAAATGTTGTGATCGACACAATCAAGCTCTCTGCTAAGATATCAAAATATCCCAACAGGGCACTCGCCAGCCTCGAGAGCACAAATTATTGCCTCAAACAAAGAGTCATGCTGATTCTTGGAAAGAATACATTTTCTGACCAAGAATACTTCCAGCCTGTCCAAAAAGCAGTATCCGAACATTTTTGAGAAGCAAGGAGGTATAGTAATTGATCTATAGTTAGCAGCGGTTCGCCATTTTTATACCTATATTGGGGTAACTTTACCATTTACTATACATGCTGGTCCTAACGGATTTATCGCTTAATAAGTTGCGGGCTTCCGTAATGGTAAGTGCGGCCCTAGAAAATTCCCTTTCAAGGGTCGGTGATGTTGCAGGTGTCGATAAAAAGTCTCAGGCCATTAAAACATATCAAAACATATATAATGTATTTTCATGCCTTTTGCGCCACTCTTGATTATTTGCATTAAAATCCAAAATACAAATAAATATCACTGAAGGCCTTTAGTAGAACAAAAATATAATTTGCAATCAAGTATCAAGTAGTTTGAAAATTCTTGACCTCAAGTCAAGTAGAATAATAAAAAGATCAAGTCAAGCATTAACGCTTTATTATTTTCAAGTCAAGTAGTTTCTAAAAATATCAAGCTACTTGACTTGATGAATCCCTACTTATATAATTGTGACTTTGTTAGTAGATTGACGAATGATGATATGCAGGTGCCATTAAGGAAATATATTTTTAATGAGTTCTATACGGATTACATTAAATAAGGGAAAACGAAAAGTTTGCGAATTATTATACATTAGATATAAATTGCTACCCAAACTGTCATCAACTAATATACTGGTATTTATCTTTTTTAATCACTCGGTATAGTTACGCACTCAAATTAGCAGCTATGGAATGGTCTTAAAACAAAATATTTTGGACTTCAAGTCATTAAGAAAGTTCGTCGATTAGGGCATTAAAACCTATTAAACGCGTGTTTTCCTGATAAGCTCATATTTTTTCTATACTGACTCAGCCGCCTAGGCAGAAACACAAGTAAATTTAAAGATATATTGTTAATCCGACATTTTAACTGCCTAATGTTCGTAGGACTGGGAAAACTGTTCTCTGGCAGATTGTTCCACAATCTCGATACAAAGGAGCGGACAGTTCGGGATGTACGAAATTCGACACAAGAATGTTAGGCAGCAGCCTGACCGGACCGTCTGGTAGCCTAAACGCGCGGCGGCAAGATCGAGACGAGCTATGAGGAACAAAGTCCGTTGGCGTACCGGCAGAAGAGAGCCAAATCACCGACTGCCCGCTGGCTTGAAAGGGGCCCTAGACCGTTCGATCGAGAAGTACAACGTTGAGTGAGACAACCTTTCTCTAGAGAGCGTCAAGGATGGATAGTGTAGTCGAAGCGGTAATACCCAAAATATACAGGGTGGTCCATAAGTCCTTTGAAATTTCAAATTTGAATAAAATTTAACGGCTGAGCGTGAGCGGCGCGGGCGAGATGGGGGCAGTATATTCAGTGTCTGGGAATTCAGTCGCCATGGAGTGTTTCACTGGAGCGGATCGTGCTTTTTGTGTGCACGCGTTTTATCAAAATAATGATTCGGCAACCATTGCGCGGCGTAAATATCGAGAATACCACAATTTACACAATTTTACAAAGTGTCCAACAGCTCAAACGATTAAGAACTGGGTTGCTAAGTTCGAAGAGACTGGTTCGACGTTAGATAAACAGCGGTGGGGTCGACCAAGGACAACTCGTATTGAAGAAAACATCAACATTGTGGCACAGTCTGTTCGTCAAAATCCTACCCAGTCTACTCGTAAGCGTTCCAGTGCACTAAACGTACCCAGAACATCTTTACAGCGGATTTTAAGGAAAGATTTACGTCTGCACGCTTACAAAATTCAGTTAGTGCAGGAATTAAAAGATAATGACGCTATTCAGAGACTAAACTTTGCGAATGAAATGTTGAATCGATTTTCTTCGCTCAATAATGTGTTGTTCTCAGACGAGGCTCACTTCCATTTAAACGGGCATGTAAATAAACAAAATTGCCGTTATTGGAGCCCCGAAAATCCAAGGCGTAAGCATCAGAAGCCCTTACACAGCCCTAAAGTTACAGTTTGGGCTGCTATGTCAGCGCATGGCATCGTAGGCCCTTATTTTTTTGAGGACGACAGATGTCGCGCATTAACTGTTACTTCGGAGCGGTATGTAGCAATGATAGAAGAGTTTTTGACACCAGCGTTGCAGAATTTTCCAGGCTATAATACGCAGACCTGGTTTCAACAGGACGGAGCAACTGCCCACACCTCCAACACTTCTAT